CCAAACACACACGAGCGTCGTTCGACGCCGCTCGCCACCTCCGTTCGGACAAATACACGGATCTCGAAGTCTACGCCATCTGTCGTATGGCCACCAGCCTTGAAGAACCAGGACGAAGCCGAGCTCTCCACCTTCTCAACCAAGCATTGACGTATCGCAACCTCACTCCACCGAAGAGTAATCTCCCCCTGACCATTCCCTTCCTAGCCCACCCCAGTTTCCAATCCGATGTCCAACGCTGGCTCGCCCAGCTCATCAACCACCACAAACACTTTGCCATCCCCCTCCACCTCCCCACGTGCCGCGTACGTGAAGCGGCCCACCCCACACTACGCAGTCGCCTGCACAACCACCGGCGATGGGAAACACTATTGGGCAGCTATCCAGACATCGATCAGCTCCCCTGTGGGTGCGCTCATCTTCGCACCCTCTTGCTACCCACGTCCCAATTCCCCGACGATGACCACTTGATCGTGACTCTCGCCGATTTACAACTTCCAGTCCACCTCCGTCGTTTGTTGAACGCCAACATGAACAGCACTTTCTTTCCCACCAAACAATGCTATTTCGACTCTGTCCGCAAGAGCTTGATCAAATGGCTTCGACATCATGGACTCCCTACCACTTTGTCCCTTCACGTCAACGCTTTCCTCACCACCCAATGGAAACATCACAATCTCCAACTACATCACGAGGACCGCTTCACCGCCAGATCCGTCAAGCACTTGCAAGAATTCTTAGGCCTTAGGCGATAAAGTTGTCCTTCATCACGCCGATCATGAACTACAACACCTCCGGATCTTCTGCCCCCACATCTACTTCCGTGGCTGGCACTCACCAGAACTCTTCCAACCATTGCCAGATGATACAGGCCAGACCATTTCCACCATCATCCAACACACCTTCCCCCCACACCTTCGCCAGAAATACAAATGGGGCTTCAACACCAAGTTCAAGATGCCATATGGAGTTGTCCACTTGAAAGCCAAGAAGCAATGGCGCAAAGGTCGCACCATCATATCCTACTCCAAATCCTGCTATGGCCCACTCCTACGTGTCACCTCCAACGTCCTCAATACTATGATCTACCGCCTTCTACCGCAATCACCAGGGCAACTTTCCACTCCTCAACTTTGGAACCATTTCCACGACTACCTTCAGCACACACCCGTGTCCGTGGATCTCCACGCAGTCAACGATGATTTGGTAGGCTTCTTCAATTCCGTCCCCCAAGATCGCCTGATCCAAGCGGTCCAAAGCCTTGTCAACCGTTGGCAACACACATTTACCACCCCGACCATCACGGTTGACACACACACACACACATCCGGAGATCCAATCCAGCTTGCCCACATTGGCCGTCATCACCGCAAACATCCCACACAACGGACACTGTACACGGACGACATCACCACGATTGTCCGGGATTGGCTCTCAGCTCCCGCCGGCCTTGTGCAATGCCGCCATCACCCTCATCGAACATTCATGGCATCAACTTCACCATCCCTTGACCGACCACACTGAGATCCACTTCGTCTACTACCGGTACGTGGACAATCGCTTCATCGCCTTCAATAGCATCTTCCTCAAACACCTGGCCATTCAAACGTTGATCCACCCGGACTTCTACGGCAATCCAGTGGAGCTAGAACCTGTGGAAGACATGCACCTACTTGGCTTTGATGTCGATCTACGTCAACGGACTATCTCCTACATCCCACCGGACGCCTCATGGAAGATACGCGACAATGCCTCAGCTGGATCCACCCGACTACGACTATCCGGTCTACAATCCAGAGCACATCTCATCCGCAAGTACACCTACCCGTCCTCGGCTGTTGAGCGAGCGCTTGCTCAACTAACGGACTTATATGTCCAAAAAGGACATGATCTTCGTAGCTGTCGTCAAGCCCTGAGAGGAAAAGTTCCCGTTTTTGGTCGCTCTCTCGCTACCCAGCGGACCCTCATGCAGAGTGCGCCGTCCCCGGCCCAGTCTGTGTGCGTCACCACCTGTTTCTAAGGTTCTCGTAGCTAGATGTTGCTGACGCATTGCAACACTTCATGATACCGGCTCACTCGTTCCAGCTTTAACCAGCAGGGGGGCTCACGGGTCTGTTCCTGGCGTGAGCCAACGAAGCTCCAGGTTCAGATTGGGATATCGAAAGAGGACGCTCTTTCGACGTACCTGCAATTTTAATTAATCTTTGTGGAGCTGTTGAACAAGCTGTTTCATGCGGCGTTGCGCAGTAAAGGTCTACAGAGCTGAAGACAACTTGTTACAACACCTTCAAATGAACGGACTTTTCACCTTGCGGTTTGCGCTTCTTTCCGTTTCATCAAGTCAAGAGAGACCTTAATACTGACAATAGCTCTTGCGCGCAAATCTCTAAGTGTGATTTATTTGACACATGAGATTTCAGGATACACAATGCAGGAGGCAAGCAGCCTAAGTTTGCCAAAACTGCGCAGCTTACTCGCGTGTTGGACCTAGAAACACAGAAGGGGAGGCTCAAGCGACCATGAATGGGAGCTGTGAGTGAAACGTTGGGACTGTGAAACATTGTCCCAATATAGGGCCAGGTCCTAGGTGAGCCCAGCAAATCCGTTCAGTGCTGGCAGATGTGGTACCCAGAGTGCCGCAGGTGAAACACATAGAACCTTGGGAATGGGATAAAATCGGTCATCGCGATATATTTAGACTTATATATAGACATATAACATTGCAGCCAATGGAATATAGTAACATATTCCATTCTTCTCTTTCAGCCGGGCCGGCTTCAGGTGTGTTGTATTAGAAAGGTGCAGAAAGCTTTAGCACCGAGGATCCAGCAGGCCACGTCCGACGCGGTTCGCACCGAGATGGCGCACATACCCCACGATGGCCGAGCCCGAGGCGCAAATCGCATTGCACGACATTGTGCTGAATGTTGTGCTACACCATTTTGCAGCTGAGCTGGCGCACTCAGTTCACGCAATGATTTGATTCGTGATGGTTCTCTTCCTGGCTTCCTCCCACCCCTGCACTTGTATTGCTGTAGCTTTGCCCTATTGCCCTGGCTGAGTTGGATTCGTATTTGCCATGTTACCGCGGCAACGTTCGATTTAGTCCCAAATTAAAGGCCACTGTTTGCTTGTGGCTTTAACTCCCGGGCTTGGTTGCGGCACGAGGTGTGAGGAAAATCGGAACACTTGTGGAACTGTAGCGGGACCGTTGGCCCGTGGCGTCAAGAGGCTCAGTTATTGTGGGAATGACGAAGAGTGAAAACACAGCTATTGCGGAGTCTCAAGACGATTGGAACGAAAGTCGTTGCCCCCGCACCCTCTGCCCCATCAAATGGAACTGTCCATGTCAAACAAGCCAAGTAAAGAACTTACCTCAACGAGGAATCCAAATAAAACTATCAATTTTTAGATTCTAGATGCAGTATGTTGTTTGTTCTGGCGTTGTTCCATATCAAAGTGGTCACTTATTTATAGAAAGAACAAGCAGGCGTTCCCCAACACCACTGCAGATTTGGAAGGGTCAGCAGCGCTTGCAGCGTTTTGTAACGGGAATAGCCAGAATAGTCTCCTTGACCTTGACATGGCCAATCAAGTGCATGGCAGGGTGGCGCGTGTTCGTCAACACACCGTAACTGTGTAGCACGAGCAACCTGCATGACTACAACAACCATTCAGAGACGCTATAGTACTGGGGCCGCGCTTGTAGTAGTATTTAGGCTAATCGAAAGGGCCACAGGAGGCTGATGCAACAAATCTTGCTGGCTGTGTGCTTCTATCCAGGATGAAGTTTCATGCAGTTCCCTGGGTTTGCATTTGTCAGGTGCAATGAGCACCAAGATCTTGCCAGGAGAGATTCAGCGCATGGAGGACCGAGACAAATTAATAATGGAACGGCTCTCGTAGCTAGACCATTTCAAGTATATACGCAAAGCAGGTATGTGGAATAACAATTGGAATATATAATCAAATCCTGAAAGCTCCGCTCAGCAGGCCACACTCCCAGCTGCAAAATGGTTGGCACCATTCGAAGGGTGGTGTTCTGTGCTAAATCGGGGGTAGTTTCTGTCAGTTTCTCGTACCCGATCAAGAGATGAGATGAGATGAGCATGATGAAGGCGCCGCCTACACTTTGGCCTTGGTCCGGCCGCTGTGCCCACGTCACATCATGCATTCTGCTGCTGCCTTAGCAGGTTTGCATGCAGGCGGGTTCCAACATCATGTGACTTTGTATCCCTGTGTCTCAAATCTAGCGATCAAACCTTGTCTCCATTAACATTTTCTCCCCTGCCGGCCTAGTCTCATGTTCACCTCTCCTCGTATCATCTGACCTGTTTTGACTTCACTTCACAGACTTGTGAAAGGTCACCCAGTGATCCGGAGATGATGACAAAGGGAGAGCAGGTCAGCTAACGCAAACCCATTCCACACATTGCTGGAAGCTCTCCCCTACAGATTCTTCCACCCAACACTGTTGGACTCACAAACAAATCCCAGTATGAAACTACTTAATAAGCAATAGCAACTCTGCAGCAACTGTCATGCCAATCCTTGCCACGAAGGGCCAGGCTTTCCTTCCGACGGGCAGAGGGTTTTGTGACAGGTCTTGATGCTTGATGTGTTGCTAATTGTTGCTTTGGTCAATGACTGTGATCTATGCTCAATTCCGTCCTGAATGTCTCATCTAGCTTAGAAGGGCTCTAGACTCTAGACTGAGCAAAATGTAGTGCACAGTGCATGTGTCGATATTGAGTGTGCAAGAGTGTTTTTGGCGCAGGATGTTGCATCCACACAGGCTGGGACGTCTCTTCGGCATCCCGTGTGTGTATGTGTGCAAATGTGCAAGTGTTCAGGAAGATCGTCCAGACGAAGCTGAAGGCACTCCCAGAAGCCAAAATCGGACTCATGGGAGTTTTGCGAGACAGTCGTGGCAGTCTGACGACAACGGTCAGGATCGCAATCAGGAACCCAGGCTGACACCTGTGAAAAGCAGAATCACAATGAGGCTGCCTTGGAAACTCGAAAAGACAAAGGTCACTGGGGTCAAGGAAATCGTGGCAAAGTTCACTGAAAGCCGGTCAAAGGGTGATGAGTCCAGCGAGTCGTGGCCTGCTTGGCGACGGTGGGCCAGAACGATAGTCATAGCGCCAAGCTTCGAATGGTTTTGTGCAAGTTTGATTCTCTTGTGTGCTCTGTTGATTGGCACTGAAGCCAACTGGAACATCCAAAACATTGGCAGTGCTCCTCCGGCAATCTTTCGGATTTTGAACACCGCATTCAACTTCCTTTTTGCTTTGGAGTTGGTTCTGCGGATTTTGGTGGAAGGCCTTGGCTTCTTCTCTTTCTACAATCAGTCTATCCATTGGAATGTGATGGATGCTGCACTAGTCGCCGTTGCAATAGTGGAAGAAGTCATTTTGGTGATGGTCGCAGCATCAGCCGAATCCTCCGTCGACTTGTCAGGCTTGAAGGTGTTGCGCATGTTGCGCTTGGCGCGTATTCTTCGTGTTGTCAAGGTGGTGAGGTTCTTTTCGGAATTGCGCATTATGGTGAATGGAGTAATTGGCTCCGCTAGATCTCTTTGCTGGGCACTTCTGCTGATCATGTTGGTGAACTTTTTGTTTCTCAGCTGGAATAGTCCCATCTAGTCTAGCTGCACGTTGCGACACGTGGTGGCAATCTTGGAAAGCTTCGATATTTTGTGTTTGCTGTTAGTTGCGGGCGCAGGCTGCCAAACCTTTCATTTCTTGAGGTTCGGAGTGTTCTTTATGCAACTGTCCATCGACTACTTGGAGGAGACTAGTCAAGACCAGGCGCAAAGAAGAGACTTGCGCGTGTTATGTGCGTTGGTGTTCAATAGCGTGAGAGTTTGTTCCCATGTCACTGACTGGAAGAGACGGATTTTTATTGTTGGCAGGCCTTGATGAAGTACTTTGGTTCTTTGCCACGGACTATGATGACGTTGTATCAAGCCATCTCTGGAGGGATTGACTGGGACAATGCGGTTGTAACCTTGCTGCCGGTGACCTGGATCATCGAGTATATCTTTGCGGCATATATATTCTTCACCATTTTCTGCTGCCTCAACATCATCACGGGAATTTTTGTGGACAATGCAAAAGCTTTGAAGGTGGCAGATTTGGAGAACATGCCGCTGGGTTCAGGCTGCTTTTTGCAGACATTGTCATAGTGTCGTTGTGTGTCGATTCTTCATGTCAAGCTAAGGCACCAGGAGGCCAGACGAGAAAGAAAGAAATGGATTTCGGAAGTGGCTGAGTTATTCTCGAGGATCTGCCACGACAACGATGGTCGTTTGACAAAAGAGGATTTTGTGTACCACCTCAACAATTCAGATCGGATTGCCACTTGCTTTCACAAGCTGGGCACCTTGTCCAAAAAGAATCCAAAAAGGGTTGATATTCATAAACTTGGATGCATCAAGCATTCTAACTTACTCTAAGACTTTGTTGCTCGTTTTCATCTAAAGTGAATTCCGCTCCCAGGAATCAATACAGACACAACCAATACTGATGAGCTTTGGCAGCTGTTTGATTTCGGCGAGAGCGGCTACATTGACCAAGATGAGTTTGCCATCGGCATCTTTGAGGAACAGTTGCCGGGTTCTGGTGTGAAATACCGGCTCTATATTCTGAATTGTTGTTGCAGATAGAATTGCTTTCCGGATTCTTGTGCACAACTTGTAAGTTCCAGGGTGTCACAATATGCATTCAATATGCGGATGAGGCACACCCAAGGTTCTCAAAAAAAATGTGTTGATGCACCACATGTTGCTGGCACATTCTTTTGCTTCTTTGATTTCTTTGGGTGACTGCTTCACAAAAGATACAGTCAAGATCAGCAATGTCCAAGGCATCAAGCAATTCCATGGCCAAGCACGCAGCATTGACCTCTACAAGCTTCGGAAGGAAATGAGGGATGTTCCTCGCATCATGTCAGGGGCAGGTCAGCAGAGCCAATTATTCCAACTTTGGTTGAATCCGGCACGTTTCTCTCACAGTCCTGTTGTTCGTTCCAATTCAGTGCTTATGTTTAAAGAGCCTCCAACCGCGGTTTCGTTTAAACGCAGTGAATAATTATCATTACTGTAATTATCCACATCAAAATAATCACTTGAATCAACATACTTGACCAAAAAAACATTCGAGCTCGAGTTTTGAGAAGCCGCGTGAAACAGAATGCCGAGGTTTCGAAAAGTGTGAAAAGGATTGCATCGGTCTTGTCATTTGATGGGTGAGAGGCAAGGCCATAGAATGTTGGACTCCACCCTTGTGTGGGGTTGCGAGACTCCGGCATTGAAAGTTTGGAGCGGACGTGACGTACCCAATATGCTTGTGCTCAGCAAGCCAGAGGCTGGAGTGGCTAGAGCAGCTAGAGATTCAGAGAGTAGAGCCAGGTAGCAAAGCCATTTTTGGATGATTAAGGATGATTAAGGCTTGACATCGGCAAAGTGAAAACTGACAACCAACCATTCACTTTGTTTGTGGCACTTCTTGCCCTTTGCCTTTGGTTCTACAGACATCCCCGTCTTAGATGTTGGATGTGACTTACGTCGCCATAGCTAAGACTGGATTCGGAACAGTCTTGTAGCGGCACAGCCCTCATCTTCCCTTTTCTGCACTTAGATGCTTGCACCAGGCCTTTGCCCGTTGTTTCGTGTGGAGGGTGACATCTAGGTCCACTTCATAAAGTAACTTGTAAACGTAACATAGATGATAAGTAGAAATGAGTGATGCTGGTGGTTAGAGTTTGGCGATGCTTGGTGCTTGCTTTTTGTGCGAGCTTTTTGTGCACGCTCCCTCCCTCACGGGACAGAGCAAAGCCACAATGCAAGGGAGCTCGTCTCCTATTAATTCAAGTGCAAAGCGTTTGCGTACCCCTAACCTCGACTGTTGTGCTCATGAAAGGAAAGAGCTTGCTGAGCTTGCAGCTATTCTAAGGTGCTTGGAGGGATTGGAGGGGTGTGAGCACACAAGTTATCCATCTCAAAGGAAGAACCACCACTGGCCTTGCAACGGCACTGCCGTACAACGTAGTAGGTGCTGCATTCTGGGCGCCTATTCCCCGTGCCAGTTGGGGTCGCACATTTGGAATTGACGTAGAACTGCTTTGGAATTAGACATGTTATTCGTTGTTGAGCTTTTGCAAGCACACGTCAGTGAATCGTGCCAACTTGCCAGGACAAGCGGGCTCAACTTGCAACTGGTTTCATTTGTTTGAGCCATGGGTTTGCAAAGGGCCCCAGACTCCCAAGTGGCCAAGGAGCGTCGGCGTGTAGTAAAAGCTCGGCAAGTAGCACGCAAAATGGCTGCAAGTGCAACAATGAAGTTCCGCAGGTCAGGAGGCCGGGCACGTTGTGCAGGCAGGTTGAGCTGTACTAGCTACTTTTTTGACCTAGGCTATGGCAAGAAATTTGCTTCTTGCTGGGAGCCGCCGAGCATGGGGATCGAAAGCTCCCCTGCATACCGATTCGTGGTGTCCCGCTGTGGGATTGACCCGCTGCCAGAACCTGAAGACAGAGATGGTGCCCCAGTCAAAGGCCTTGAGTTGGAAACCAGAGTTATGAACAAGGCACCAAGCACCACAAGTTGCAGAATGGATAGCTCATGGCTCATGATAGCTCCAGGGATCATTCTAGATTCTAAGTCATGTCGTTGCGTGCTGGCGTACTTTGCGCTCGACTAATCTAGAAGTTTGCTGTTCCACACATGTCCGAAGAGACACAGCCTGCCTGATTTGCGTTTGCTCTTGCATACGCAGGTGGCTTGCCCTTCAACCAGTACCCTCCGAACTTGCTGGTGGATGGGCAACGTGCTTATTGGCTGCCAGATGATTGGGCACAGGTGGTCAAAAACACAGGACCTGGAGGCACCTATGTTGGTTGGTTAAATCCAGGCGGAAAATTCTTCTACCACAGACATGGATATCCGACTGCAATCGAAGAATCTCTTGGCAGCTGAGACTGAATGATGCTCATGTCATGACACTACTAGTAGTCAGACCTTTGTTACATAGTTTGTCACAGTTTCATGTTGTGTGGCTTTGTTTAATTCACATAGTTTTAGTATGTTTTTGTAGTGTTTAAGAAGGCATCGAGCCTGGCACAGCCTTGCATCGAAGCATTGTTTGTAGATTGAGCTTTGTCAATTGAAGGGCCAAGATGCATTGCACCTTGTGTTCTCTCAGGTAGGGTACTGACGGCGGTTGATGGCTTCAACGGCATAATGAGGTCCGTTGGCAAGGTGGTTACCGAGCAGGGCGACAAAGACTTCTTGGAAACATGTTTGACTTCCAAGGAGCGCAGGAACATTGTGCCGGTGAGGAAGTTTCACTTTGCTGTGATCTCGGCCCGTCGGGCCACTTCCCCTGATGGCATTCACAACATCATGGTGGTGGAAGCGCATTTTCGATTGAAGGGGGTACGTCCAACCTGGTATGTTGATGAAGCCAGTCACTCGGACTATGAGAAGCTTGGTTTGCGGGTCAAAGTGGGAGGCAAGTTAACTCCAGCCAGAAACAAAGCCTTGGAGGAAGCGAGAAGACAAGGCTGTGTGTGTGTTCAAGTGAGTGATGATATCTCCAAATGGGAATACTACAATGTCGCACAGCAAGATTTCCGTGGTAAGATGAGTTTCAAAAAGGCCAACGAAGCTGTCAAGGGCATCAAGCCAATGACTATCTCTCCTGTTTGTGCTGCTCAGTTCATTCTGGCAAAGATGCGCTCATCAAACGAAAAGCCCAAACTCGGTGGTGTTTTCCCAACCTTGAATGCGGCCCTGTCCTTGGGAGCTCCTGAATTTTCGACGCAGCACTTCATTCTAGGTGATTTTTTTGTGGTAGAGCTTTCGCCATGTCGCTTTGATGAATCCATGACATTGAAAGAAGACTATGACTACACATGTAGCCACTTGCAGCATCATGGTCATGTGCTCCGATGCAACCGAATGTTTGCACACGCACGGCATGCTACAAACAAAGGAGGTGCCGTGGCTATCCGAGACAGTGCTGGAGCGAAGGAAAAGCTCAACATATCCATTTTGATGAAGAAATGGCCTGGCGCATTTTGTTTGAATGGCAGGCGAAAGCACGAAGTTGTTTTGAGCTGGAAGAGGTGCAAAACCGACCCATGCAGAGCACAAAGCACCACAAAGACATTCGAGGAGCACAAATGCCTCAAGTTGTCAGGCGCAAGCAAGCTGGGCAAGGGAAAGTCAGTAAAACCTATCAAGCACCTGAAGTCCAATGGGCATACTGGGCAGATGCGGCAGACGCACCTCAAGCAGCGGTCACTAAGGTGCCGGGCAGCATCTCGGCTGAGATCTAATTATGCATCAGGTCTGGAAGGCTTGGGTTTGCGCATTGTTCATCTCAGTAGCTATGCTTCATTTAACATGTTTGGCTCAAGATGCTCAAGGATTTCCCTTTGTGAGCCAAACTGGCTTTTAAAGGGTGCACTCGCGAGTGACACGATCGCATGCCGTTGCTTCCGCGACCAGGCATTGGTTGATGTTGCGGTTCATACCGAAGCGCCGCTTCTGGCTACCGCAACTTGGTTGGAGGCGACCCCCTGTATGCGAGACCCCTTGGCCCCCAGAGCACGTGTTTCAGTTCCAGGCCTGCCTCCCATCACACGCGTGCCGTACTGCGGCGGGCTGTACCGCGAGGCGGGGTGGCTTCCAGTTTCCATTCATCGGCTGCTGGACCAAGCGAGGCGTGCTTTGCATCACAGACGGGCGTGCCGAGGCTGCCCGGCAGCGCTACTCTGGCTGGCCCACAACCTTGTCGAGGCGGAGAGCTCTGAGGGCGTGGTCACCATCAACGAATATCAACCAGCTCTTTGCGGCTTGGAGGGCTTGGCAGCTGGGGCTTCAAGTTTGGCGAGACCTTGTTGCCATCCCTCCTATGGAGATGGCTCGGCTTGAGCCCCGGACTACGTGCCTTGTGGAGCTGGCTGGGCGCGACGCCATGGTGACCGAGTCCAAGCTGGAGGCCATTGTGTAGGGCAAAACCTGGTGCACGATCTGTCTAGCCAGCTGCCTCCCTGATGAGGCGTGAGATGCAATGCTATGCGAATCCAGCCTGGTCCAATGTTGAGCAACCAGCTCGCCGGACCTGAGCACAGTGCGCCATGTACCAAAAATAGACATCCTGATTTAATGTATTTTCCTTATTCAATGCCCAACCCCCGACAGGTTTTGGTTCAACCGCGGAATGGCCCCGCAGCGAGCATAGCAAGAGGTGACTTGGTTGAGTCTTCGGTGGACTAGCTCCATGGTAGTGAGCCCCAAGGGGGATGGAGTCTTCAGTGGACAGGCACCAGCAAAGCGATACGGCGCTCGAGTTCCTTCAGCCAGCTCCTCTAAGACTGCATAAGGACCTTGGGCCTATGTCCTGTATCTCGGGCCCTGCACTCCTCGTGTTTTCGAGATGGTAGCTGCTAGCTATCCACGGCCAGTCAGGGAGATGCCAAGGACATAGGTCCGAAGGATTACAGTGGAGTCATCCTCTAGAATTCTTGAACTCCTTGTTGACAGTTGCCTCTTGGACGGCAACCTTGATATGCCGCCGTGCAACCGCAGATGGCCAGGTGCTTGCACTCCAGAGCTCCGTCACCAGCGCTGCAACACCGACGACGACGATCTCTGCACTTACCTGCTTCCTCTCATTCAAAGTTTTACCATCCTGTCAGCTGAGTGTCAGCTGTGGTTGGTCTAAATCTTAGGTGGAGCCTTCTTGATCACCTAGCGAAGATCCCAGCCCGGCTGGCGCCGCGCCAACGCAGTGTGCGCCTGCTCCCTGAGACTTGGCGTATTGCCCGGTTTTTCCCCCTTTTCCACCCCCCCAGTCATTGAACTAATTTTAAGTGCGCTGGGGTTGGGCCTAGTTGAACACCCCTACCAGTTGCAGAGGAACTGCATTGGAAGAAGGGTATCCAATTAGGGCCATTCAGAACAGACCGCTGTTACTTGCAGAGTGCCTGCACCTGGAGTGGAAGGTGCATGCCAGTGTGCATCCCAACGCTAATCCTGTGCAATGACAGGTTGTTCAGTCCACAGAGTGTGGGGAACCAGAAGGACGTTGGAGAAAAGAGCGGCGGACAGAAGCGCGAATTAGAGTAGCCTCTTTTCGAAGGTAGATAATTTGAGATTAATAATTTTTGCTCTTTGGAGTTTTGCTTCACAAATTCAGTGTCAGTGCGTTCGTTGGCATGTTTTTTTGTATTGGCCCTTCCGCAGAAAAGATGTTTGCTTGAGCCTTTGAGGTGGTTAAGCGTTGACCATCCAAACTTGGAGGCCACGCGTTCGGGGAGCAAGCTAAAGAATGTTGTCGGCTTGCTGGTGGGGATTTAGGCGCTTGCAAAGCAGCGCGACGGGCACTGCGTCAATGGACGCCCGCTGCAGCTGTCAGAAAAGCAAACTTAATCGCATGTGGTTCCGCAGTTCAGCGTGTAAGAGTTTGAAACACATGAGTCATATAAGTTTGAAACACTTTGTGTGGCCGTTTCAACCGGCAGCCGGCAGCGCTTCTTTTCTCCTTTCTAAGCACGCCTCCACAGCGTGAAGTGTGCCAAACGCAGGAGTTTTGAGCCCCTGAGTGGCAGAGGGCTCAAGTCAGCATTGTGGTTTAGAAAAATCAATACATGACAGCGGATTGGTTTTCCGTCGGTATGTTGCACTAGGTCCCTACGTCAACTTGGGATAATCAGAATGATGTGTTGAGCAGCTCCCTAGTGCTAGCACAAGTTGACCACGCCGACGCCTTTTGGAAGGCTACTGTGCTGGGGTGCATGAGCACAAGTGAGCTTGGAGTAGCACAAATGTGTTCGTTTTGGCGCCGCCTGTTCAGGGGGCTTGCGCTCCCAAGCTCTCACTTGCGCTTCCACCTCGGTGGTGCAATGCCAGGGCCTAGGGAACGCGCCAAGTAGACCCTGACAACGGGCATAGTTGTAAATGATTCCACGCAAGTCGGTTTTTTGCAGACTTTTTTTCCAACAGTTTATGTCAATTTCATGTTCAATCAAACACGAAAAAGCAAGCACCTGAAATAAACGGAGCATGCAATTTGTCGAACGTAGTCAAACATCTCTTCACTGAAAGCCATGACATTAATGGTTTCTTGCCCTGCTGACATTGAGGGATGGTAGCTTGCGAAGGAATCTGTGTTTTGTTGTTCTGGTGCAGATTGTGGTGCATGGACTGACGTTCCAACATGCTCCAACAGTTGCCAAGGCGTCACAGCCTGCGAGTATCGTGCAGGCGCAACTTGTGACAGCGAGGCAGCTGGAATTGATGGGGTTCATCGTGTGCTCAGAAGAGCGAGGCCATGATTCACAGATGTTTGGCAGAAACCTGCTGGCGGATGCTGATGGAATTATGCGAGTAATATATGTGATTTCTCTTCCACTGAGAGGTTTTGGTTGGCTGGCTGTGCCCATTGTTTTTGGCCAGTTCTATTCCTGCACGCATCGTAGCAGACAACACAACAAGAGCATCAGTTTGCTTTAGTGAACAGTTTTGAAACCTGAGAGTTCTCACCTATGAAACCAAAACCGAATATTGTCCAAAGATGAGGGGTCAACTGAAAATGACCTGAGACCTGTGAGAACCTCAGTAAACTTTCTCGTTTCAATGCTCTCAACACTGCAGGTCCGAGTCCTAGTGCATTCTTTCCTGCGAGCCATAGAGTCATTGTCATTTGTTGCTTACAATTTCTGAGCAGAAGTTGCCAGTTGCTTTTCATTTTCATGTTGATTCCATCACCTCTTTCGATCCCTTAAATACTGGGGACACTCCAGGATTGCAGGGCGTTTGTTCCTCAAACCTATTGAATTATTGAATGTACAGGGTCGGGGAATCCATTTCCCCCTTGCACCTTAGCAGGCTAAACAAAACTAGAAAATGCAAGCGCTGCTTTTAAAGCATGTGGTAGGAAAAGCACCAAGTTCCAAAATGATGCCTGGTGGGCGCAAGCTCCTGAAGGAGCAATGACCTTGGGACTCTATGCAGCAGATTTGCTCGAAAAACCCTGGTGGTAGAAAGAGGTCGGGCGAAAAATATGGTTTAACGCAAAGCGCGTTCACTAAAACAAGCAAGGCACACCAAGTGGATACCCCCAGAGAAGCACGTTTGTGCAATTTGGTGCATATGTGATGAGGTCGGCCTTCCGGGTCTTCTGCTATTTTGCTTTCTGGAACTGGAACAGTCACATTTAAAAGTTTCAGTTTTCAAGTTGTTATCACCCGTGGCCAATGGTTGATGGGAGAACTGCTTTTAGACCATCCTGTGGGCACAAGGTCTGTAAGACAACAACTGTCGACGGTGTTGTTGCTTGACATGTCCACGAAAAGATAAAGAAATCAAAATCTAATCATACCCTTCAAGCGTATGATGCATCTATGATGCATCAGCCTTAACACAAATTTCCGACTGTGTATTTTAGGCGGGTGCATATTTTGGCTGGCTGGCGCAGGCCCACTTCCCACAATGCTTCATTGATTCGCCAGCCTTAGCCGATGTCCGCAAAGGAAACAGTAGGGGAGCGCCTTGCTGCAAACCGTCTGTCATCCTGTCGTCCTCGTCGAGGCGATGCCCTGTTACCTCGCGCGGTCAAATTATAGTAATTATACCTAGTTATGTGCTTGATGCATATGGTTGATTGATAATATCAATATCGCACTGCTGGGATACCCTGGAATTGCATTCCATCCAAGCCAGCAGGTGGTGCAAGAACGTCGTAGAACACCATGTGACCATGTGGCTGGTTCGTAGATTGCCCTGCACGAAGCTGCAATGCACCTATCAGTCCCACAAGTCAGAACAGCCAATAGGTGCTACTGTAGCCCTTTAGTAGTGCATCCTGCCCCCCCCGCCCGCGCTATGTCCTTGGAGACAGGGCGCATGTTTGTGGCAGAGATCGCCGCGGACCTGTGGCACCACCGTATGAAGCCCAGTCCCAAGGATGTGTTTGCCCGAGTTTCAGATGGTCAAAGTTTGAGACACGAAACGTGACTTTGACATGAACAAATCATTTGTGACAGGTCTAAGCTAGTTACTAGTGCCTTCATATCGACCATTAAAAGAATGGTTTACCTGGTTGACACTAGAATTCAGAAAGCAGTGGTTCTTTGGGATTGAGACCATGAAATTGCAATGGTTTTTCTCGGGCTTCCTTTCTCCTACCATCGTGGTGGGAGTTGTGTGACCTCCGTTTCGCTGGGTGTGACCAAACTTGTACACTCCGTCGCCACCAGGTCGTCTTTTGGAGTCTACATCATTTCAGACGCCAGAAGCTCGGAGACCTGGTTAGGTTCAGGCACCCTGACACCCGTTGTTCTCCTTCGACACCTTCGGACATTCTTGAGGACCGAGATGAAGATCATTATAGAACGATAACTTCGACACCGCTCTGGAGACTTTCCACCGACACGTGACTTCCGCGCGGGGGCGACCGATTTCGGGGTGACTGGGCGCACGTGGGGCGCACATGAGGAGGAGTCCCCAAGATGAGAGCACGAAGGGGTCACGTTTTTCTGGGACTATATAGGGGGCATTTTCTGAGTGAAGACCCTGCGAAATGTCGTGACCTGTCATGAAATTTCTCCTCGGAGATCTTTGGGAGTATGACGTTACTCATGGGACTGCCTGGAGTTGACCTTTTTTGTGCCTCGGAAAATGGGCACGAGATGGCACAAGTAGTACCATTGAAGTTTTTGGTTCGGGTCACGTCCCATTTTCTAAGGTATTAAGGGCATCGGGTCAGGTCCAGGTAGAATCTGTATTTTGCCGCCCCATGGACCCGCGTTCAATCACTACTGATCGGCAGATTGTGGCAATCCCACTAATTTGTAGGCTCTTGATGAATAACCACGCAGACATGGATTGTAAAACCGTTTCAGGCGTGGGGAGTTTGGAAATATAACCAGTTTTACAATGCCTTAGGGCATGACGTTTTTTGGAAGCACCCAGTCACGGACACCGCGCTCCTCCGACCATCCGGTACCTGGGATTTGCACTGGAGAAACAGAAGAGACGGACGACCTACCCTTCCAAAGCCATTTCAAAGATGGTTGACCTGGTTTTGTAATTAATGCCCTTAGTAAACCAATGTCTATTTGGTAATTTGGTAAAACCATTAAAGCAATGGTGGTTGCAATCCTGGGGACCGGGTTTCTGGAGGTCGCCACGGGTTTTTTGACGGAGACTAACTTGGATTGTAAAGGTTGTGGCTGTGGAGTCCAGAGCTACCAAATGAATCCAAGTGACCTATGTTTTAGCCTTTTTTTACCATTGGTAAGCCTTGGTCCTAGTAGCTTCTAGCTACTAGTAGTAATGCCGGGAGCTACTAGTAGCTGCTTGTCACTAGCAGAGTCCACATGAATCCAAGTGATTTGATGTGAATCCTTTATTTTCTAATTTCCTCTGATAGATATATATATATAAGGTGTAAGGAGAACTCCTGTTCTCAGAAGCTTGTTCTGATATACTACGTCGTGGAGCCAAGTAACGACTGGGATTCAGCACCGCCTTGGCCTGCCTTGGACTCAGCGAAGTCCTCTCCCGCCTTCCAGGAGTTCGATGCCATACTCACTGAGCCCAGGAATCGCCTTGGCGTTGAAAAACTCGTGACTTTGAAAGAAACGGTGGCCGTTCTCACGGCCAGCCCACTGTCCGATAGGAAGGAAACAAAGCACCCCTTGAGTACAGCGACAGAGTTTTTGGTGTTGCATGGGTGCCAACCTTCAAATCTTTCTGGACGTCCGTTTCAATGTGATGGTTTTCGTCAGAAGGTCACGGTAGTTTACTATTTTGTGGTGCACATTTTGTGCCCTTGGATCAGAGGGTCCGGACCCTGTCGATGGGTAGATGACACGTGACCCCCAGCAAAGTACTTGTGAACGAATTCCCTCTCTCTCTACATATATTGCTTTTTAAGCATTGAAACCATGGACAATACCCTCCAACAGGTCACAGGCCTGTTACGGCCCAACAACCCTCTAGTACCTCGAGGAGACCTGTTGAGTCGGGTGCTGGTGTATATATAAGTACCCCCTCTCCTTTTTTTATTTGTGAATTGCTGCTTTGTACATGTTTTCAATTGTTCCAGAAGCCGGGTAGAGAGTTGGAAGCTTTTGCCTTTCAGGATCCCCGCTACAAAACGTCCAGTTTGATTATCCTTGACGACGACTTGTTCCCCTCCAACGACTTCAAGGAAGAGATCGAGAGGGAAGAAGCAGCCAGAACCACTGAGCCTTGACTTGTGAGTCAAAGGTGCAGAACC